AGCTTGAAATATATTATTTGATGATGCAACCCACTTTGCTATAGTTTTTAGATTAGTTTGTTTTAGCCTTTCATATATCCAAGGGATTAACATATAAGAATCCTCTGGACGATTATGAATATACGCCAATGCTTTCTCTTTCGCCCTATATGCCTGTTGGTAGTCCCATACTCTCTTTCCAAATGCTGTCTAATGTCATTTAGACATTTGTCTATACTAGAACTCAACTCATGTACAATCACTCCTGAAATAAGTCTGGACTTCTTGTGGGAGACAACTAGGTTGGCTTTTGCATAGTGCAAGTGTTCATTGTCAAATCTTATGCTTATCATTCTTCACAAATTGGTATGCAAACTTGTGTGTGAGGCTATACTTATATAATGATTCTCTGAAATATATAGCATCAATAAAAGTTTGACATTTTGATATCAACAAATCTATCCACTTTAAAGAATTCATCATCGGTATTAAGGTTGGTAATATTTCCGCACTTAGACTTCCTATGTTTAATCATCTTTGCCCTCTTTTAGTCCCCATCGGTGTTGGCACACCTTCTATTAGAGATGTGTTCAGGTTATCTATGTCCACATCCAATACAGTTGGAGATACTGACCTTACAAAAGAAGGTCTGACCAAATTATCTATCCTACATACACAAATACAAATTCTGAGTTTTACAATTCAATTTATGAAAATTATACCAATATCTTATCATGTACAAAAAATCTAAATAAACATGCCCACTTACTCTTGTGCATTGTCCAACTGTGATGCTTGTCTCAAGTTTTTCTCATTCTTGCAAACATAAACACGTCCATTGTTATCGTTGTACTCAATTAATTATGCTATTCCAATATCATCGATAATGTTCAAAAATGTTTTTCTGTCAAAACTAATCGTGTACTTCATTTAATATTAACCATTACCTGACCAAACATTATCTGCTATCATCCTTTGTAGTTCTTCGTATATCATCCCTTCTTTGATCAATCTTCCATTTATAATACCTGCTTCATATGCCAATTTTCCTTCTAAGGTCTTCACAAATTCCCCTCCTGCATGAAACATATAAAATAATTGTTTCCCACCACTAGTAACCATTTATAATTCATTGTTGTACATCATTCAACTATTAATTTCAATCAACTTTTAACAATAATAGACAGTATATGTTAATAATAGGAATTTGTGATTGTACAACAGAAACATGGGTTTTCTATTACACCTTTTTTCTAGAACAACTTAGAGTTCAGTTAAAATCATTTTAACCACATTGGATGGTCTTGGGCTCAATTTTTTCACAAAATGCTGATTTTCGGATTTTTATTGTCCATTTGGTAAAAATCCAGTTTTCTGGTCCAATTTTGAAAAATCATAGCTTAATCTAGAAAAATCAAAATAGAGTGGTTTAAAATTCTGTAGAAAGCTCTTTAAATGTTCTTTCAAGAAAAAATAATCTTGTAAATCAATTCCATTTGAGAAGGTGTCAAGTTTTTGTGAAAGTTACCACTGTCCTTTTGGTAAAAATCCCTTTTCCAAATTTTGATTCTTAATTTTGAAAAATCACCAAAAATCGTGTAGTTGGTCATTTTTAATGTGTTACCTATCAAATTGAAGCTCACGACATGATTTATAATCATGCCAAATATAATCATTTAAAGCATTCAGGAACTTAGTCAAAAAATTGCTTCAAGTTGGCAGGGTAGTTAGGGTTACAGTACTGAATAAGCAGAATAATTACATAACCAAAAGTCAATGAATTTTTATGGTTTGACACCATAATTAACCTTGAATTTGCAGCTTGTCCTTTGATGATTCAGCTCCTAAAAGGTTAGATTTTATTTAGAAAGAATGGGATTTGAATGAAATCCTAATAACAAAATTAACTAACTATATCATCAACAAGCATCATTATTATGCATAACCATATTTGCTACTATTAGTAAACTAGCATTATCATAATTTGGCAATCTCAATCATGCAAAGGCCAAAGCAATGAAGTGCAAAGAGCAGCCACATCACAAGTAGCAAAGCTCATCTACTTTCTTTGTTTTTCTTCCTTCCCTTCACAAATATCAAATCCTAACATGATAAACCACAAAAGGGGCAGCATGATCATCAACCATTTCATATAAAATCAACAACATAACTCAAGTAATTCTTAAACCCTTTTAAAGCTTCCATCTTTGTTCTTGAATTTGAGTTGGTTTTTTTAACCCTAAAAATTCTCTCTTGACTCATTCCTTTATAGTTTTTCATGTAGATTCCAAATATATGCTTAGATTTAAGAAAATAAAACCTCTCCTTCTAGATTCCATCTAACCAAAGCTATAGGGTTCATTATCCAAAAATTACAACTTTGATCCTAATGCTTCCAACACTTGTTCTTTAGGTTTATCCTACATCAATTTTTATTTTGAACACAATAAAAGCCTCAAAACATTGAAAAACTCATCCTAGGGTCCAGTTACTATCTTGGCTGAATTGTCATGAAACACAACAAAGAAATTTCTTCAAGAACAACCTATAACTACTCAAAACCACTTGGAATAACTATGCTTTGAAGTGTTTTAATAAGTTTGAACAACAAAACTTCCTCCCCCAAATAATATATGTTTCGGCTAGCATCCAAGAAGAAGAGAAACTAAGATTTTCAACCATAAAACTCAAGAAAACAAGGTAAGGAACAACTTAGAACAAAAAATTAACCTTAAATCTTGATTGGATGATCAAAGTTGATGACTTTTCTCTTGATTCCACTTGAAACTCTCTCTTTTCTCTCTTACTCTCACTTTGGCCTAATGACGATCTGAAAATAGGGGGAAGGAGTGCTCTCTTAATGAGCAAAATATCTCAACTACCATAATTAATGAAAGTTCAAGTATCAATCCCCTCTTTAATCTTGCATGCTCTTTCTTAACTAACCAAATCCAATTGAAATTAATTACCAAAAGTCAAAATCCTCTTTACTTGAGGTGTGACACTTGGCAAATTCAAATCCTCTCCATTAGGGGCTTGACACATGGCAAAATGTGAGCCGTTTGAAGTGCAAGACTCTAGTCTTCACTTTATCAATGCACCTTGATTCCGGGTTTATTTTTTTTTCTATAATTACAGTACTCTAGCCTCTGTAATTATTTTTTGTCAGATCCATAATTTATTCTCCTCATTTTTATCTTCCCAAAATACCCTCTTTGTGTCAAAATTAAATTTCCAATAAGTAAATAAAAAGAAAAACAAATTTCCTTCTTTTTAGTATTTTTTCACTTTTCAAAGGAATTAGGAAAAATCTTGGATATTTGAGGGTCTCCTTTTAATTCCATAATCTTTTATAATTCCTTGGGGTATCATAGGAATTTTCTTGGAATTTTATTCTCCTTAAAAATATTTAGTTGGAATTTTCCAAATAAAACCCTTAAATTTGCCTAAATGACCCTTAAATTCTTTTGTAATTTTTCTAAAGGTAATTTAGTCATAAACCCATTTATATAATGGCATATAATTCTCAAAGGGTATTATTCTTATTTTTCTTAATTAGTCAAATTTTTATAATTGACTTGGAAAATCATAATAATTATTTTCTATTGAAATTCTTCTATTTCTCCTTATCATTTTTGGCTTTTAATTATTTAAGAATATTCCTTATTTCTAATTACCATATTACTGGATGTGACATTTTCACAATATTAAACTGTCATTTTCCTGTACAACTCTAATTTGCAAATTTACAATCCAAATACTTTTTTTCACAACTTCAAGTTACCATTTCTCTCACATTTAGCTTCCATATCACTCATTTCAGCACGTTCACTCATTTCCCTTTCATTTCTCGCTCCTATTTTCCTTCAACAATGCATTATTGTCAGTTTTCACCCATTTTCACCAACTTTTCAAAAATCACTAACACTTCATGTTCATTAACTTCAAACAAGAAGACGATAACAATTTCTTTCTAAACTTGAAAGTGCCATCAGATTTTTCCTCTCTCACTACCTACGTACCCATGTATTTAAATACTCATTTCTATATTATTCAACCATCACAACCCAACTATGCTCAACAAGTTAGCTCAATAGAACGAAAATTTCAGAAAAAATATTTTACCACACACACCAAGCACCAGAGACGATCACGACACTATACTGTAAGGCAGAGTTACAGTTTCTGTCACTTCCACCAACACTGATAGTGACTTCCCACAGATGGCCGATAGATGCACTTTTGGATTGACCATTACCTATTGCATTTTCTCAACTCATTCTTATTGATCACCTCCCTTCATCACTGCATGGGTATGGGAACAATTGGTGCCAAGTTCTCCTTTTCCCCTTTTTCTTCTTTCTTTTCAGCACATCACATTTCGTAGGGTATTTCTGTAAAATGGGTTGTGCAATTAATTTTAGTTTACCCCCGAGGTCCTTCAGTGAAATTTTAGAATTTTTTGGGGTTGTTTGAAATTAATTGCTAACTGCAGTCTTTGGTTTAAATTTTCCTTATAATTTATTTATTCAATTTTGATAGTTGACAAAAAATTATTCATTTTGGTAATTATAAAATTGTAATTTTATATATTAAATGTAATTTATAATCATATTTTATTACACATCACAAAATAAGAACTAACTAGAAAAAGATAAAATTGTCTATACAAAAAATATTTTTTCCTTTCATTTTTAAACCAAACAAGATAATATTAAAATTCATTTTCTCCTTATTCTTTCATTAAGTAAAATTAAAGATTGCCCGGTTTCTTGGCATCAAATGGGATTGAAATAAGGGAAAATGGCAAAAAAAAAGACTGCCAAAATAGAAATATTAAACATAGGAACTGGTTTGTAAAAATTATCATCAAAATGTATATTATTATTGTCAAAACTCTGCCAAGGATTTTTATTTATAATTTTTCTATTTGAGCACTTGTTTTTTTTTTGGCCATTTTTCCTGGAAATAAATGACATAGTACGTTGCATTCAAGTCTACCCGTCTCACTCGAGGACGACTGGCTTGGTAATATTGGATTAGGCGGGGAAGCCCTTTCATTACCGTACACAAAGATCCAGACAAGGCAAGAACCTCTTGCATTGTGGTTGGGGCCGTATGGATCGGCAACGAACTCAGAGTCCGGTTTCTATCCGCCATTGGAGCAGCGAATCTGGCATCACTTCGCCGGCACGTAATGGCCATGCTCGCTCTTCTTCCGCCTCTGGAATCTCCAGCATCAAAAGGGCCCAGAATGTCGCTGCTAAAGCTGCCGCTCAGCGTCTTGCTCAGGTCATGGCGTCTCAGACTCCTGACGACGATGAAGAAGACGATTACGATTTAGGATTTCGCTACACTCCTCCTCCTCCTCTGTCTCTTTCCAGGACTAGTAAATCCTCTGTTCCTCCTGCCACAACTAACAGATCTCCATCCCCTGCGGTATATCTTTCACTTCTGCTTTACTTCTTTTGTCTCTGCATTCCTTTTGCCTTTTTAACTCTGCTCTGCTTTGAATACATTAATTGGTTTGCAACGAGATTCACCACTACCTCTTCCAACTACTGTCACTATTCATTTTATATTGTGATCCAGCCTCAACTCCGTCAATCTTCTGGTACATTGTGCCGCCTGCATTGTGGGTTATAAGCTCCTACATCGGATCGGCCAGCTGCAGATCTTATTAGTTCATGTGCTTTGTAATTTAGATACTCAATTTACTCGTGCAAAAATTTCCTTGCTTATTGGGAGTTTTATTTGATCGAAAATAATATTATCTGTTTCATTCGATAAAACATATATCTTTTCCAACTTATCTTGTCAGGCCTTGCATGGCCCTGGAAAGGTCTCGCCAAGGCTCATTGTAGTACTTGAGCTGAAATAGTACAACCAGAAATTTTCGTTAACTTGAATCAGTAGTATTTGTATATATGCATTGTTAGGCCTGCTATTGGGTTTGTGGCCGAGCGGCACTTGCAATACAATATAATGATATGTTTTCATTCTTCTATCTGAAACGCCGATTCTTGACAATTCAGCGCTGATTTAGTTTTTCTGTTAATTAGTTAGCTCGGAACTTGGTAGATGAAACAACATCAGCACGATCAGCATCAACTGGAAAACCTTCAATGTCTGTTCGTCAAGCAGCTATTATACCACCCAATAGACCGCAGCCAAAGGCCCCAGCTCCTGTTCCACCAATGGAGCCCTCTCTTATTAAGCCCAAAGATATTAAACCTAAAGATAAAAGGTAATATTTCTTGATCCTAATAATATTTTTCTGGTGTGTTTGCTGTTTCAAAACATTTCAGTGGATGACTCGTGTTTATATTTTCATAATCTTTGTGGCATTGCTGATTCTTTTCTTATTTCCCTAGTAAAACACGTTTGACCATGCGCTTAGGGAGACTATCGGCTGTGCTAATTGTCATTGGCTTGCTCACTAAGTGCACTACATGGATGCAAAGTTTATCTTTAGTGATAGTCCCCCTTGGGGTGTGGGAATGTGCTTTTAATTGACATGCAGCGTGATGCCATAGTCTTGTAATTGAGGGGGGAAAAAAATCCCCAGTGAAGATCAGATCTTGGAGGGAACTGCCTCTTTAAGTCACTAGTTCATTGGGGTTCTGTAGACGTTGAAGCTGCTTATCTTGCATTGAAAACTTCTCAAGCTGTTTTAACGCCATCCAGTTGATTTACTAGTGGTTTCAAAATAAAGAAGACCTTGCTTTTTTCATGTTCAGAAATCATATTGATGTTCTTAATATGAGATGAACAATCATGCAAGATCTTAGAAATTAAGCTGAATTAAAATGTCAGTACCATGCATTGTATGAAATATGAGATGAGCCATATTATTGATGGTTTATGAATTGTGCAGCTTCTTGTAGATTTTATATTATACATATAGATGCTGTTCATCCATCTTCTTGTTGGTGAGCTGTTTGACGAAGTTGTCAAGTATAGAATTTAGTTTATTCTTGGTGAATTTGCATGGAGTACTTCTGTCATTTGAAGGGAAGTTTTCTTGGTCCTGTGTTATTGATTGGCGTTTATGGGTTTGGCATGTAGGTTTGTTTTGGGTTCTTGGATTCAAGATATAGTATCAATCTGGGGTTAATGATTTCATTCATAGTAGGTGATGGGTTGGATGTTAAATGGTTGAATAAATGCTTCTTGCAACCTTGCTAGGTTCATAGTATTCACAAGGGTACTAGGCTTGAACATATAGGAAGATGCTTTAGTTTCTTCCCTTGATCCTCTCAAGAAACAGCATATGGTCAGTTCTTCTGAAAGCTTGATCTCCTAACGACATTTTCAAATTTCTTTTGGTATTCAGCCGCTAATCTATCTTGGCTTAATTTCTTGAGCTCGGCTATTGGGTCTTCTTGGAGGACATCACCTGTGTGGTTAGGCTGATTATTTCTCTCTCTCTCTGTAAATAGGGATATTTAGTCATTATTAACATTAATATCTCAGACTATTTTTGGGGTGCATTATCTGGTAGTATCATAGAGATTATCTTTCCTATTTCTGCTCCTATTTCTTCGGGATTCTCTTCTCATTGCTCTGTATATATATATTTTGCACCTATTGATGAATAGGACACACAACGAACTGCTCTTCTTCAACAATCCATATACTCCTTCCTACTCCCCATTTTCTTTTTCTGCATAAAATTATGATACCACTGTAATGCTCTTCCCCTCAATTGGCCACTTATCACCTTGATCTTTTGGTCCATCTGAGTCTCAATTCTAAGGATTTCCCCTCATTTCTTTTGACTTCTTACTGCATAATCTCTGTTTTTATAGCTATTTGAATTGGGTCCTATCACACTCCAGCCTAGGAAGGTTATCGAATGTACTATTATTCAGTTTATATGAAGAGATTTCTTGGCTTTGAGAATTGTACTGAGTTAGGTTCTGATTCATATTCTAAATATTATTTCTTCCCTCTGCTCTCTCAGTTCTATCTCATCCTCTTTTAAATCATGTCAAACTTCAGAATCTATCGTGTCTCTAATATATCCTTGGAATATGTTTGCAAATATGTATCCATTTATTTTCTTGCATTGTTCTTTTATCAAGAGAATCTGCGCTCTCACAGATGCATATTTGCATATTATTTATAACAAGTTAAAGATTGTTGATATGGGTGCTTTGCAGATTTGCATTGGATCCTGAACTTGTTAAACCAAAAGCGTCTGAAGATGAGCATGACGCTTCTGCTCTTCGTGATGAGGTGTGTTAATAGGTCATATGAAAGCTTTTTATTAAAGGCAATGATGATAGCAGCTAAGGCTTATGTATATGCCGTTCTGCCCTTGTAAATTTTGTTGAAAAACTGACTGCTATTCTCTCTGCAGCTTGATATGCTACAAGAAGAGAATGAGAGTGTTCTTGAGAAGGTGATATATATATATATTTTCCTTCTAATTGTGATCGGTGAATGATAAAGAGCCCACTTATAAATATTGGAGTATCTCTAAAATGTACAGCTCAGATTTGAGGAAGAGAGATGTGATGAGGCCGAGGCCAGAGTTAGGGAGCTTGAAAAACAGGTACTTCACATTTTCTTTATCTCTTTACGAGCATATGCAGACATATAAGCTGAGTTTCCACAAATTGACTGTGGTCCTAGTCATTTGATGTATGCATGCTTATTCATGTCTAACTCAGTCAGAGAATAGGAGTTGGTAATTTTCAGGTCACTATTTGTGTTTATGAAGTTGTCATCATCTTTCTGTGAGAGTTTCAATTTTTGGCATTTGACCTGTCTTGAATAGATAAAGTCAGAACTGCCCTTTGAATATTCAGCTGTACCATGCCAGAAGAGTTTATCCTAGGATTAGCTGAACTACCCTTTGACCGTTCAACTGTACCATGTCCAAAGAGTTTCTCCTAGGATTGGTGAAACTAAGGTTCTGTATTCACTGGGATTATTGAATTCTGTAAAATCACCTTGATGTTTATCATTTAATATGTGCACGTATGGAAGACATTATCGTATTTGCTTATACAAAATGTTTAATCTTCTGATGTCTCTGTATCTGCAGGTTGCTGCCCTTGGAGAAGGTGTATCTTTGGAAGCTAAACTCTTGAGCAGGTGAATTTAAGTTAAAACATTTGCAGGTGAATTTCCCTTAGTTAGTAGTATGCGTATATGATGGTATCCTAAATATTTGAATTGCAGAAAAGAAGCAGTGTTCCGTCAGAGAGAGGTAATGTGAGAAATTCTAGAGATTCTGAAATCCAAAACTGTTGACTGTACTAATCATTTATAGTTAATTTCTGCTGCATAGAGGATGATCTATTCTTAAGGTGATTAGCATGCTTTGCTTATTCTGCTTTACATACCTTTAATAAAGCTTATATTTCACAGGCTGCATTAAAAAATGCAAAAGACTCTAAGGATGTAGTCAATAAGGAAATAACATCTCTACATGGTGAAGTTGAGGTAAAAAACTAGTTGTTTGTATACTCTCAACATATTATCAACGTAAAGCTTATATTTCACAGGCTACATTATTTCTTGAGAGCTATTTCTCTGATGGCGCTACATATGCATTTTCTTCCCATCTTTTTCCTTATCCAGAATGCAAAAGCTGAAGCTGTAGCTGCAGCTAGTCAGCTTCACCGGGCTGAATCTGAAGTGAAAGCTCTTCAGTCAATGACACAAAGAATGGTATTAACTCAGAAAGAAATGGTATGTATTACCATCGCTACTGGACTCAAATTTTAGTTTCTTGGAAATTTATCATTTGAATTCCATCTTTTAAGGAAGAAGTTGTTCTCAAGAGGTGTTGGCTTGCACGATATTGGGGTTTAGCTACAAAATATGGTAAGTGTTATTATCTATTTTCGTTTCTCCAGTTTTTTCTTTCTTTTGGGGCAGTTTAGGAGAGCCTCACTTTGGGTCAACCAGTGGTATGATATCAATTGGCTCCATATATTGATCATCTTGGCAGAATCTAATTACACTTTAGCTTTATAATTATTAGCATATATTATTTATGCTTGTCTTTATTTGTGTATAGCTAGATTGTTTGTATTATTAATATTTTATGCATGTATAGTTATACTGTTGGACTAGGAACATTAGAAATATCAGATTGTTTGCTTGCCTTTGTATGAATCAATGTCGATAAATCATGACTAATGCAGCTCATTCCATGCAATACATGGAATCTGAGTCTAATTTATGGTATAGTTTGTCATATTCGCATCTCATGACGTAAATTTTTGAGGTTACGTGCTTGTTGAAGTTTAGTTGGACTTTATTGTTAGTTATTGATGTGAACCCAATAGGAACTTGTCCTAGCAAACTCATAAATTACAAATTGAGCAATGAGTTATGGAATCAATTAAGGAATAAAATAAAGAGAATAAGAATGAAAGAAACAATTGAAAGATTCGAAACCCAATGAGCACGCCTTCTAGAAAACATTGACTATACAAAACTCAGCACCCAAAGGAAACAATGGCTCAAGAACTCCAAATATAAACAACACAAGAGTTGATCAAGCTCTTACGTCATAGTATCCTCATAAGAATACAAGGAAGCAAGTATGCTAAATTATACTTTACTAAACTCTAATATAAATAATATAGGTACAATACTTGACTAAAATAGGAAATAGGACTCAACACATGCTAGAAACCCTAAAAACCTGAAACCTATTATGATTAGGCATAGAGGAGTGAGGTAATGTCCCTTTTGTGATCTTGGGTGATTTGGGACGTCACTTTTGATGTTGGCATGAAAGGATGTTGGATTTTGTTGAGGTAATGGATGAATAGCCAAAGATAAGATTTTCAAGATAAATGAATATTGTGGATATCCTTTAAATAATTCAAATGGTGTGGTAAAAGGATGGATATTTAAAGGATATGGTAACTAGAATCCATTTAAATCAGATTTGGTTAGATTTAAATGAATTCAATGGATATTATAAGATAATTTTTAAGCTAATTTGTAAAAGTAAACTAATAATATCCTAATTTGTCATTATTTAATGAAATAATGGCACATAAGACTCTTAAAAATACTTAAAAACTCGTTTTGGGCTTCATTGAATCATGTTAAGCCCATTACAACTTAATTAAGCACAATAACAAGCAAATTAATATAAAAAAGACCTAAGGACACTATTTTCAACTTAGGCTCATTTATAACTCATCCAAGCCCATCTCCCGAAGGTCCTGCATACCTGTTTGTGTTCCTTTCCTTATTTGGAAGCCTTCTTCACATATCTCTTGACGTATCACGCAGCAGGGACTTCGATTTTGGACTCCTATGAGAGGCTCCTTGATCTCTATCATCCCCTCCCTCTTCGAAAGAATTCATTCTCAATTATCCACCTACATCATAAGGGAATAGATTAGCAACATTGATGGTTGCACTAATGTTATAATCAACTTGTAGGTCTACTTTGTAGGTATTATCATTTATCATTTTATGTATTTGAAAGGGACCATATCCTCTTGGAGCAAGTTTAGACTTTTTTTGGGTTGGAAATTGTTCCTTTCTAAAGTGCACCCATACCCAATCTCCATGCTTAAATACAACTTCCTTTGACCTTTATTTGCAGCTTGTGCATTTAATTCATCCTTCATCTCAATATTGGCTTAAACCTTAACATGTAGATCCCACACAAATTTTGCATTTTTCTTGCCGTCAAGATTAGCATGTTCATTGCAAGGTAAAAGAAGAATATCCAAGGGAGTCAAAGTGATATGAGATACAAACGGACTGGCTAGAATCAAGTAACGAACGGATTGTTGATCTAGGTAGGACTTTAAGAGAACCTGTTTCTTACAACTCTAGCGATGAAGACACTACAAGGTTGATCAATCCCTTGATACTGTCGAGTATTCTCACGAGAATACAAGGATGCAAGCAAAGCTCACACAGGGAGAAATAAACTCAATTCTCATTCATCTAAATTTGAATTCAATTACAAAAAACATAGCCTATATATAGGCAATAATAGAACACTCTAGAATCAGCATCCCAAGACATAAATGTTAGGGATGATGCCTCATTAATGATTATTTGACTATGGGAGGCACAATTTATTACATAGAAATAAAAGAAAATAACTTAAATTTCAAGAACAAGTCTGCTATTTAAAAATAGGAAAGTAGATCAAAACATGATCTTCTAGAACACTCCTTGACCAAAAAAACGAATTTAAATCATAATCAATTCATAATGATACCTTCTTGATCCTTCTTGGATGTCACTTATGATTCTTGTCCAAGGCACATCCTTATCACATGGTATTTTAAGTGAATTCTTCAATCTGAACCCCACATGGGCCTTGTACATCATCTTGTTGGGCTTCTAGCAATGTGATCACCATTTTTGGACTCCTTTTAGGCTTATTAAAAATGTGCTTCTTCCAAATAAATGGGCTCTAGCTCTTTTAGCTCTTTTATTGTATTTAGGGCCTCCTTCATAGCTTTGGTCCTTGCTCTTGTCATTGGGCCTTCAATGCCTTGTAATGGATCTTTCAGAATGTTGGACTTCTTTCTTTGGGCTCCTTGTTCGTACTCTTGGTCACACCATGCTCCTCCATCACAAAGGATTGAAACCATAGACAATTTTAAATGGAGAATGGCATGCAGTGGAATGAACAGTTCTATTATGTGCAAATTCAATATGTGATAGGCATTTTTCCCAATTGTTCAAGTTTTTCTGAATAATTGCCCGTAATAATGTTGTTAATGTCCTATTTACTACTTCTGTTTAGCCCTTTATCTGGGGATGTGTAGTACCAATTTATTCCATAAAGCTCTCCAAAAATGGCTTAGAAATTTTGCATCATGGTCACTAACGATTGTTCTGGGAATGTCATGCAATTGAACAATTTCTTTAGCGAACAAGACAACAATATAAACAACATCATTAGTCTTAGCACATGATCTATCAACTACCATAAATATGCTATCTTTTCCACTAAGGGACCTTGGTAGTCCTAGTACAAAATCCATGTAGATATCAGTGAAAGGATGATTAGGAATAGGTAAAGGAGAATATAAATCATGTGGTTGAACTCTAGATTTTACTTGCTTACATGATATGCACTTAACACAAACATATATAACATCATGTTTCATAACAAGCCAATAAAAGTGTTCTTGCAATAAATCTAAAGTTTTATGAATACCAAAATGTCCCATTAATCCTTCCCCATGAGTCTAATGTACAAGTAACTCCTTGATTGAACATTTAGACACACATAACTTTTTCCTATTTGGAAAGGAAACTATCAAATATGAAGTAATCATTGAATCCATTTTTTTCACAAGAATACCATATTTCCCCAAAATAAGAATCAGTTTCATATAAACTTTTAATCTTCTCAAAATCAAGCAATCTAGCATGCTATGATGTGATTAAGGTGTATCTACATGACAATGCATCAGCAATCACATTCTCTCTTCCTTGCTTAGGTTCAATAATAGAAGGAAAAGTTTTAGTGAATTTTAACTAGCAGGCATGTCGCTTATTCAAATTACTCTGGGACTTCAAATATTTCAAGCTTTCATGATCAGAATGGATAATGAGCTCTCTAAGCCATAAGTAATGTTGCCATGTTTCTAATACTCTATTTAGTGCATAGAATTCTTTATTATCCCCATTCAAATTTTCACTCGAATAAGCTATAGGTTTAGATTCTTGCATCAAAATAGCCCCAATACCTATGCCAGATGCATCATACTCAATTTCAATTCAAAATGGTGAATTATTTAGTTTATCTCTAATGTGTTTGATGGAATTAACTCTAGAAAGTATGCATTATTCTTTAAGAAATTGCCCTACAGAGTGCAAGTCGTATAGAGCAAAACCTAGGCAGAAGAAAAGCAACCACCTTGCATTGAAGAGGCTCTCCTCGCAATTCTCTCATCACAATTTCCATGCCCTTTTTAACAATCAGACCCCTATTATATAGCCTCTCTCCCTCACTAACCGTCAATTAGAAAATACCATAATTACCCATGCTTACATGGTCTCCTCCCCCATGTCACTATTACTCTTATGTCCGATAGTGTTAAATGCCTTTTCTTGTGCTTTACACCATTTAAAAGTTGCATGTTTCTTAACAAGTTCATTTAGAGCTGTAGCAATAGATGAAAAACTTTTAACAAACCTCTTGTAGGAACTTGCAAGTCCTTGAAAACTTCTTAACTTTGCTTATATTCTTTGGGGTTGACCAACTTCAAGTAGCTTTCACTTTCTTCTCATCTACAAAGATTGTTTTAGCCCCTACAACAAAGCCAAGAAACACAACAGAATCCACGTAAAAAGAACATTTTTTAAGATTTGCATAAAGCTTATGCTCCCTAGCTATGCTAAAGACTACACGCAAATGCTTAATATGGTCATCTAAGGTCTTACTATAAACTAGAATGTCATCAAAGTAGACAACAACATAGTCCAAATAAATGAATGAAAAACATAATTCATTAAGCTCATAAAAGTACAAGGTGCATTAGTTAACCTAAAAGGCATAACTAACCACTCATATAACCCTAATTTTGTTTTTAATGTAGTTTTCCATTCATCCCCTTCTTTCATGCGAATTTGGTAATAGCCGCTTCTAAGGTCAATTTTAGAAAACAAAGCAGCACCATGTAATTCATCTAACATGTCATTTAAATGAGGGATGGGATAATGATACTATTCTATTATTTTGTTGATCGCTCTACAATCTACACACGCGCTAACTACCATCTTTCTTTGGGACTAAGATGATAGGAACCGTACTTGAACTTAGACTTTCACACAGAAAGCCTATTCTTAACAATTCTTCCACTTGCTGTTGAATCTCCTTTGTCTCCTTAGAGTTTGCTCTATATGTAGACTTGTTTAGAATTGGTGTGCTAGGTATAAAATCAATTTGGTGCTTAATACCTCTTAACAGAATCTAGTATCTCCTTAGGGAAAAATTCTTTAAATTCCTACAACAACTCAAAAATAGGACTAGGACAAGAAGAATCAAGTTGGTTGGTTGAAAAATATATGTCCTTGTACAAAAAACACAAGAATTTGCTGGCCGTCCATAAGGGCTCTTTCTACCTCTCTTATTTTCACATACAAGCTCATATTTTTAAGCTTTTCTTTTACTTTTGATTTTTCTCTCTCATTTTTTTTAATTTTTCTTTTTCTTTTTATCCTTATTCTCATGTTTTCTCTCTTTTGCATTCTTTTTCTCATGTTCTTTTTTTGTGATCTTTATGTTATCTATCGTTTCTTTTTCTTTCTTTTTACATTTAGCATCAATTTTCATTTGATCTTTGCAAGCTTAAATTGGCTTGGGGGGTCCATATGACTTTTCGGCTATTAAAGTCAAAGTAGTAGTGGTTGTTATAACTATCATATTAGACTTTCCTATCAAATTGCCATGGGTGAATAAGCAATACATGACCAGAGCACATAAGAACCACATCTCATGTCACTTTATCATGATATTTTCCAACAGTAAAAGAAATTGAAACTTGCCTAATGACTTTAGCTTCTCTATTGTGATTAAACCATTGCAACCTGTTTGGCTTAGTATGGTTTATAGTAGTTAAGTTTAATTTATCAACAAGGTACTAGGTAGATTTGCACAACTTCACCTATCTATTATTGTACTATATACCTTATCCTCAATGTAGCATCTAGTGTAAAATATGTGCTTATGCTTTTGATTATCTTGAAGATCTTTAAATTACACATTCAAAGCTCGTCTTGCAACAAATATCTCTTTATGCATAGATTTATCAAAACCGTCATCTACATTTGAACAAGCATTAAGTGATGGTATATTTTCATCATCAGAACTAGCACTAGTCACTTTACCATCCTCTTAAAAAAAAGTGAGTTCTTTTTTTGGTGCATTTAGATTGGATATGGCCTAACCTTTAACATTGGTGGCATTGGACTTCACAAGCTTTAGAAGAAGATTTAGAATTAGAATTGCCTCTAGAGTTGGTAATTTTAGGTGCTGCAACTTCTTTGGATTTGGAGGTTGAATTAGGCTCCCCTTTTGATTTGTGAGATGTTCATGTGGAGGTGGAGTGATTTCGCCTCCAAGTAGACTAAGAATGTGTTTGCTGTGCCTTTAACTACTTCTCTACCAAGGTAGCTTTATGCAACAACTCTTCCATGTTGATGTAGTGTTGCAGCTGTACTACTTCTCTGATGTTATGCCTTAGGCCATTTATGAACCGTCATAAATTGCTATAACTGGAGAAGTAAATTTCTGTAATAATGAATAGGAATAAAACGCTTATGCATAGCAAGTTTCAGCTCAGCCCATGTTTGAATCGAGTCTTCTCCATAGTGCGTTCTAGTAGTTTGAAATTCATCCCACCATAAAGTGGCATTGTCCTTGAGATTACGGGATGCCAACATGATCTTCTTCTCTTTAGAGTAATCATGAATCTTAAAAATGAGCTCAGCTTCTTTTTATGGGAATACCTTTTGTAGTGAGGAGATTCTTTAAAATCTGAGTATTCTTACACCTTTTAAATTTGGATTTGAAATTATTTCTTGATGACTTGAAGGGAGGGGTGGTACTAGCCTCCAAGAAATCTAGTCTGTCATGGATGTGGTTATTTTCTTTAAAAGGATCATCCATTCTTTGAGATAGCCTCTCCAAGTACTCACCTAAGGCTTTATTGTATAACTTGGGATCTTGGTGGTGTTTGTCTTGAGAGATGATGTGCCTAAAAGATTAGTAAACAAAGAAAATAGAATCGGATCTTTACTCTGCTCATGTGTTTAACTCTTAAATTTTGTTATATCACTCGTGTTTACCCTCGAGTTTGGCTTTTTCGATGACGTAATTCCCTCTAGCGTTTTACCTAGGATTGAGTGGACACGAGAGATTAGCAAAATAGATTTGGAGTTCAATAAAGGACAAATGGATACAAACAAAATTTGAAGTAGATTGGAGTACTTGAAGACTAGGAGAGGATGTTCTCACTAAGTGTGTATGTGCGAATCATGCCACCTAGCTCAAAAAACAACAATAAAGAAGTTAGGTAAAAAATAAGTTTTTTTCCAGAATTTTCCTCTTTTTTTTCCTTTTTTGCTATTTTCATTGTCTTTTTTGGTTTTTTTTTTCTTTTTCTTTTTTACTTTTTTTTTGTACTAGAAATGAAAAATAAATAAAAAAAATAAAATAGGGAACATTAAATGGATTTAATTAGATAAGATTACAAAATCTGCAAAGCATCCCTTAAATCGAGGAAATCCCACAATTCAAGCAAGTTTTTAAGCAAATCTGATTTTTTTTTTTGCATGAATTTTTTTTTGGGTTTCTTTTAGAGTGCTAAGATGAAAGGAAGAAACAAAAAAAAAAAAAAAAGAATACGCAAGACGGCGTGAATAAGTGCACAATAATGATTCTTGGTGGGAAAAAAAAAAAAAGGATGAGATGGAAAAGATGGAATGAGAGGGTAAAAAGCTTTCAGATAGAAAGATGGAAAGAAAAGAAAGATGATGATGGGAATGCAAGAAAAAGGTATAAACTTGATTTCTTGTGACAGGCTTTGATGCCAATCTAATGTGGACCCAATAGGAACATGTCTTAGAAAATCTAGAAATTACAAATTGAGCATTGAGTTACGAAAGCACATAAGGAATAAAATAAAGAGAATAAGAATGAAAGAAATAATCAAAAGACTAGGAATCCAATGAGCACGTGTTCTAGAAAACGTTTGCCCATCTCCTATAGGTCTTGCATGCTTCTTTGTGTTCCTTTGCCTATTTGGAAGCTTTCTTCACATATCTCTTCAATTTGGACTCCATTTGTTGCAAGCTCAACTTTTGCAATACATCCATAAGTGATAGCTCTTGGTTGTGTGCCTTGAGCTTGGTATAACTTCTCCTTGGCTTGAAGATCTAAAATAACTCCTTCTAAGGACTCCTTTATGGCATGTTTCTTTGCTATTGTTATTGGACCTCTAATTTCTTTTAATGGATCATCCAACACAGACTATGATTTTGGACTCTTATGAAAGGCTCTTTGATCTCCATCAGTTATCTTTAGATTATTGTTTAATGTGTTAGATTTTCCTTAGTGGCTTACTGTAATTGTTGTTTATAATTTTGTTGTGGTTTGTAGGTATCTGTGCAGATGTTGCTGTTTCCAAGTATGAACATTGGTCATCCCTAGCCCCTCTTCCATTTGAGGTTGTTGTTTCTGCGGGACAGAAAGCTAAGGAGGAATGCTGGGAAAAAGGCATGAAATAGATTTTGACTTTGTAATTTTGTTAATTTGCCTACATAGTAGAATAACTCCAAAGAAGAAAAAGAAAGAAAAAGAATGATATTCAATAAGTTATTTTCCTTTGGACGTGATTTTTCAATGTTTAATCAAATTGACCTGTGATATTTCCACATTTATACACAGAAGGTGAGGATGCATTTGATAAGAGGAGAAAACTTGTTCAAGACTTGAGTGATCTCACTGGAGAGGGAAATATTGAAAGTATGCTTTCAATTGAAATGGGGCTGAAGGAGCTTGCTTCCTTGAAGGTTCTTTTCAAATACAGCAATCATCTTTTCAAATTCATGATCTTTTAATATGTGTTATACTATTATTTTCATAATAATATCATTTTATTAAGCTTTTTCTTGTCTTGTTTATTGGCTATCGTATTTGCTGCTCACGTGACATTTCTCACCATAAGGAGTCACTATATGTAGCCAATATTTTGTTTCTATGTATTTTAATATTCCTTTTGCTTGTCAATTTAAGGTTGAGGATGCTATTGTGCTTGCATTCGCCCAACAACGACGTCCAAATTCTACTCGACAATCCATTTCAGGTATGGAATGCATAAGCTGGTGGTTTTCACAGATAAGTTCTTCAGTTACTTTTCTTGGCATTCTCAATTCAAGTGGTACATTATAGTAAAATCGAATCATTAAAAGATTATCAAAGTAAGCACAAACCTGTATGATAGAAGTAAAAGGAGGAAATAGAATATTCATTCGACAAATCACAATTCAGGGTAGCACACAGTATATATCCTGACCTCTAGACACGTCACAGCACTTATTTTTTCTCTAGTAACTAACTCTTACCTTTTTTCCTTGGCATAATTATCATAAAAGCCCTTACCGGAATAGTGCATATACCAAAACTCCAATCCTTGTCCATAAGGATGGTGTTGGTTGGCGATGCAGTGGTGGGAAAATTAGGAAATTGCTATCGAATGACAGAGAGATCCTCCCAAGTAGCATCCTCAGGTTGACAGTATTTCCATCGGATCAAAACTCCAATCTTCCGGCTCAAAATTTCCTCTAGTTCGAGCATAAAGTGGCCCTGAGCATTACTTGGTGGCAAGGAAGGAGCAAGAACAGCCTCAGAACCCATATGCTTTTTAAGGAGACACACGGAAGACTGGATGGATGCGTGATTCAAAAGGCAATTCCAATTCATAAGCAATAGTCCCAATCTTTTTTAGCATCTTATAGGGACCAAAGCAAGAGCAACAAGTTTGTGAAGAGAGGAATTGTTTAACAAATTCTTGTGAAAAGGATTAAGTTTCAAACAGACCATATCCCTAACATTAAAATGGCATTTATACCTGTTCTTGTTGGCTTGTTGCACCATTCGTCATTGAGCTTAGAACCAACTCTCGTGACAAGCAAGTGCAGTTGACCAGATCATTAGGTGAATCACCCACTATACAAGGCAAGTGGATAGGTGGTGCAACCCCATAAATAGCCTTAAATGGTGACATTCTAATAAAGGAATGATAGGTAGTATTATACCATAGCTCTGCAAAGGGCAACCATTTCACCCGTTACTTGGAAAATCCTTAGTCATGCAATGAAAGTAGCATTGTAAATTGCGATTTAAAATCTCTGTCTGGCCATCTGTTGGAGGATGATAAGCAGAAGAATATTGGAGTTTAACCGCATATAACTAAAACAACTCATTCCAGAATTTGCCACAAAAAATAGGGTCCCTATCTTTCACTATTGTCTTAGAGAAACCATGTAATTTGACCACATTATGGGAAATTTGTTTTTGACTGTAGCCTCATTAAATTTCCTGTAATCGACATGGAAACACCAAGTATCCTCCTTTTATACAAGGGCCACTGGCGCAACAAAAGAGCTAGAAATCTCTCTTATAACCCTATTCTAAGCATCTCTAAGACTTATTTCTCAATATCTGTTTTTTTGGTGGGTTGATACCTATGAGGCTTGCAATTGATGGGTTGATCATTTTGTAGGGGAATAGCATGATCAAAGTGTGGGTGCCTTGTCATCCCCTTCAATAGCGTTCATAGTCCCCATTGCATCAACTTGGGCATCCCTTGAGGCATCCTCAAAATATTTCTTATCCTCATTGATCATCAAGGTGAACAGGTGTGATTCTTGATGACTGTTAGAGAATTTTTCGAGACACCAATGGCACAATCTTTTCTTCCTTCGCTTGTTCATCTCTTTTTTTGTTAGTTGTTTGGTGGGTTTAGATGATGGTTTGGGCCGATGAGGATTGGGCTAGGGATTTCGCCTTTAGAGGCTTGTGAAATGTTTGAGGCTGGGCTTGGCTTATGGCCTAAAAACGAAACTGAGCGAGATCTAGAAGAGTCACTTGTCATAGCAGACCTAGAACGGCGTTGTAGTGCTTGGATTGTCAACTCTTGCAAATATGCTATAGACATCGCCCTAGAAAGGGATGATGGTGCAAAGTTGAGGACGAATTTTGAATATCAGGGCGAAGGCCTCTAATGAAAAGATTAATCACAACTAGTTCAGGGATATCAATCTCAGAGAGGAGGTCATTGAATTGCTTCTCATATTTAGAAATTGGGTTTGAAAGTTGTTGGAGGCTTTTGAGAGCAATCAAAGGATGCTTTTCCTGCATATCGGCAAATTTGATCTCTATCTGACGGAAATACTCAGCCCACGAGATATCAGCAAAGGATTGATGGAGCATAAATGTTTAGTGCCATTGTAAAGCATGGCCCTCTAAATGGATGCTTAGAAGGCGAATACACTAGTCAGAAGAGGTACCGTCACCCCTAACATTATCCCCATCAAACTTGGGGAATTCCATATGGCTTTGCTTTGTGGCAATCGAATAAGAGGTGGCAGAAGAAGACTATAGTATCTCTTGAAAAGAACTGACCATAAGGATACGTGGGGTCACGTGAGAGCCATTGCCAAAAGTAGGACGTTTCCTAATTGACGAGTTTAAGCTAGAGAGCTTTGTGGAAATATCCTGTAGAGTGAGTCTGAGGTCGGCGATATCTGATGCTTATTGATCCATGCGAGTATTGATAGAATCAAGAACAGTCTGTTAAAGGTACAATCGATGCTTAATGTCAACTAGCTGTTCCAAGGAGGATCACGTCTCTAGCAGTGCCATGGGCTGTTAATAGAAGTAAAAGGAGGAAATAGAATATTCATGTGACAAATCACAATTCAAGGTAGTACACAATATATATTTTGACTCGTCATATCACTTATTCTCTCTCTAGCAACTAACTCTTACATTTTTCCCCAACATAAAAGCCCTTACCAGCATAGTGCATATATCACTATAGGTATATTGTTTTTGCCGTCTTAGTTTATAATTAAGTCCAACAATTTGAAAAATCTGCTTTCTGTCAACCTTGCCCATTAACATATTGTTAAGAGTAGAGAGGAAAACCAGAATATTCATTCACGAAAAACATAGTGGCATAGGTGCAGGCATATATACTCTGGCATACGCACGTCATGATGATTATACTCTCTCTCTATAACTAACTCTAAAGGCAAAACTTACATTTTTCCCCAGTATAATTACTATAAACCCCCTTACCACTGTAATGTATATATCCATACTCCTCCCCACAAGAGAATCCTTGTCCATAAGTATATGGTGAGTGGCTAGTGCAATGATCTGGAATCGAGGGAACTAGTGCTGGATGGCAGTAAGATCCTCCCAGGTGGCATCTTCAGGTTGAGTAAACTTCCGGTGAATCAAAATTTGTGTGACATGGCGATGGTGGTGCTTAATTATCTTATGCCCCAAAATGGTCTTTAGTTCGAGCATAAAGTGGCCATTATTGTCAACAGGTGGCAAGGATGGGGCTGAGACTACTGTAGGACCAACATGTTTCTTGAGAAGAGAAACATGAAAGACTGGATGAATTCTTGTATCTTGAGGCAGTTTGAGCTCATAAGCAACACTAACTATTTTATTCAGAAATTGATAAGGCCCAAAATAGCGAGCTGCCAGCTTATGGAGGAAGAAATTGTTGATTAAATTCCGCAGAAAAGGATGAAGCTTCAAATAAACCATTACCCATATTGAAATGGCGTTCTATCCTGTTCTTATTAGTGTGGTGGACCATTCTCTGTTGTGGCTTCCCCAAGTGTTGTTTCAGAAGCTGTAAGACTAGTTCTCTGGATAAACAAGTACGAAGGAAAATCTTTATTAGAATATGTGCAAAAATCTTAAACGCATACAACTAATAAAGCTTATGGAGAATCTCCAATGATTAAAACAAGTACTGATTTGATTTCCAGATTATTTTTTCAAGCTGTGAACCCCGATATTTATAGACATTCCCCAAAAATTCTGACCCACATGACTGAGGAAATGGAAAACAAAGAATCTGAACATGTGCAAAAAGTATATACTTAACTCAGTAAATAACTAATACTCTAAACTTATGCATTAATTAAACCAACCACTAAAATAAATATTAATCAAATAAGACTAGAATAATGCATTTCCAAGTCACTGGCCAATTTTTTGTGCACGTGACGTCGTTATCAATTGGTACCCTATTAGCCACATCACGAAAGGAATTGATTGTGGAAGAACATGACTGATCTTTTAGCCGTTCTTTTTTAAATTAAAATAGGAGTGTTAGATGTCCTAGCAGGTTAATGACGTTTATACACTTTTGAACATTGCCAGATCTTAAATCACCACAGGATCCCAAGTTTATGGAGGCCTTTGGTTAGTTGCTCCCCACCTATGTTTCTGGTTGCTCAAATTACTGTATGTTATGTTCTTGCAGTTGATGAGTTAAGGCTGGGCTAAATATATTATGGTTTTTGTGTAGAATTGAGTCCAGAGGAGTCTGAGGATGTTCTCTTTAAAGAGGTATTCCATTCTCAGGAACTATTGATATTTTCTATTGAAAGTTCCATGTAATTTCTGCGCCTAATGCTTATATATTTACTGTACATCATCCTGCTTGCTGTTTCTACTTTCTCATTCAATATTGGTGGTGTGCTTGATACTGATTGGGTAATTGAGATCTTTGATTTTGATGAGTTTTACCTTATTACTCCTCGCCGTGTTTGACCAAAAGATGCATTGTTTATTGTATCAAGCCTTTTGTCTTCTGAGTGAAATTACTCCGCCTGGACAGGCTTGGCTGACATATTTTTGGAGGAGAGCCAAGGCTCACAATATAGAGGAGGGCATTGCTAATGAGCGTCTTCAGTTTTGGATCAGTCGGAGTCGACATTCACCTACTTCGCATGATGCTGTTGATGGTAGTATCTAAACTTAACATTTTTGTTGTTTGTTTTTGACCAACGACATTTCTCTTGTAGTTAGTTACTTTGTGTTAGCTAACATGGACTTAACAGCACGGTACCTTTGTCTGCTATCTGTGAAGAAAAATATTTTTTTTTGACCTCTCTAATTAGGAAATACTACTTCTAGTTTTTAATATAAGAACTAGATAACTAATCTGAGAATATTAAGAAAATTAGTTAAATTGATTATTTGTCACAAATGTGTCGATCTTCATAAACTCTCCTCTTTAATCATGGATGATTAGAATTATCTCTTGGTATAAACTCCTTGCAATTAATAGGAATATTTTGGAGAAAGATGAGAGACAAAATGGATTGAGGTTTTATATTTAGGACTAAATCCAACTTTCTAATTAGCCCTTAATACAATAGACAGTACCTCTAGATCTTTTTGTCATCATCTTTCCCAATTAAAATTTGACAAGCATTTGATTTACTGATTAAAATATGACAAGTTTACAGTTTAACTTGAGAGACTACGTGTTTGTTTCTAAGAGTTATGTGTGTTATCTTATTATGAAAAAACTAAACCTTTTAAATGTTTTAATCGATAAACCTTATGGCCAGAATAAAAAGAACTCTATATACTTGTTCTGTCTCAACCTTTTGTTTTTAATGCCCAGTGATAAAAATGTGTATTACTTTTTATCAAAAGAAAAAGAGAGTAAAGAATATGTGTTACTAATTTGTCTTTTATATTTCAGTGGAGCAGGGACTTGTGGAACTTAGGAAGTTGGGAATTGAGCATCGACTTTGGGAAGCATCCAGGAAAGTTTATCAAGATATTCACGGCAGTTGACTGCTTTGCCTGAGCATTTCTGCTAAACCTCGTTTGAGGGATATATTGATATATCGTACAATATACAAACTTCTTTCTGGATCTTGGACACTTCCACCCTCCTCCGCAAGTTGTTTAGAGAGGTTGGTTATGCTGAAGGTTCTTGTCTAATCACTTTTTCTTGTACATAACTGTTACCTGAACGGGGGATGGATTCCACGCTTTCTAGCAATAATATTAACTTTGCTAAGATGTATTACTTTTGATCCTTACTCTAAGAGTTACTTAACAAATTTTAAGAGATTAAAAAAGTTAACTAGGTTAGTTTTTCGTAACAAAATATAAATTGGTTTTCGGTTGGTTTGAAGTTGGTGATACTAAGGTTTTGAGATCGGATTTGGTTTAGGATGCTAAAGAGAAAGTGAAGTTGGTCAAAAATTGTCAACAGCTCAAAGTTGACAACAGTCATATGTGGATTATTGTTGTAGGGAATTAGAATTTGCAATAGGGGATAAAGTGTCTAAGGGTGTGTTTGGGACAGCGATGGCAGAAGTAATTTTTTTTCAATACAGAAGTCAGATTAAGTAAAAGTCAGATAGGGTAATGTGATTTATGTTTGAATTGGGTTTTAGAAAAAGGTCAGTTTGAGAAGCTGAAACTTGTTTGGATGATAAATATAAAAGTAAGTTTGGATATAAAATGACTTAAAAGGACATGAATTTTATTAAACAGTACATATATAATATTAGATATGTATAATGTGACTATTTTTTAAAAAGTAAGGAAAATAAAATTATTAAAAGTAAAGAAATTTAATTTATTATTAGAAAGAAATTATATATATAATGTGACCATTTTAAAAGGAGTAATGAAAATAAAATTATTAAAAATAAATTTTCTTTTGGTAAAAAATATCAAGTTTGCTTGGAAATTTAAAAAAAAAAAAATCAAATTTAATCACATTTAAAATTAGGAATTAAAGAGGTGAAACATGAGAATATTAATTCCTTTTAGAAAGTGCCAATAATATGGACCAGAGTATTATCAATGTTTAACACCCCATGTATTATCCCAACGCCCTCCTCACTCAAAAGTAAAAAAAAAAAAAAAACACCTAGAATCAGCTTCTTGCAGAAGTTCATTTCAGCTCCACAAGTCAGATTTCACAAACGTGGGTCTAAACAAAAATTTTGAGGAGCCTGGTGACTTTTGTGATGGGGATGCGCGTTTAGGGGCCCAAATGTGATCCTAAACACAGCCTAAAAGTGTCACCTATGAAGGGAGTTTTGAGATTCAATAAGAAAGGCAGGTTAAGCTCGAGGTATATTAGTCCATTTGAGATATTAGAAATAGTCGATGTTGTAGCTTATCATCTATCATTACCTCCTGAGTTATTTGTGTCCATGCTATTGAAGTATCCCTATGACCCCCTGATGTAACATCCCGATTTTTGGGCCTAGAAGTATCAGAAATAGCCTGAATGAGATAGGCTACCAGACCCCTTTTTAGTAGAGGTCTTAAAGATGAGAAAGAAAGTTAAAGCAGTTTTAGGGACTAAACTGCAAAGTGAATGTTTTAAGGGGCTAAAGGGTAATCAAAGTTAGAGGCTCCGGTAAAGTCTCAAAGGCCCAGAAAGAGAAAAGAGGCTAGATACAGACCTAAGGTTAAGTTAGAAGCCTCAAAGAGATTGTTTTATGAGGTTGAGCCTAAGCAGGGGTAAAACCGTAAATTTAGAAAGTTACGGCCATCAGGGGTAAAAATGGAAAGTACTTAGAAAATTCTCTGGGAAATAATATTCTAAGACTCTTTTGTGAAGAGAGATGATGAAAATACCCCTGAGGTAACTTAAAAGGAATTTATAAGTTTATGGCTCAATTTGAGATGTAGAGGTAGATTTAATTGTTTGAGTCATAAGAAAACCTCATAAAATTATGGTAAAATAGGGATGTATGATCTAAGAGACTGTAGAAAATTATAAAATTAGTCTCATCCCCAGAAGACCAGCAAGATGGCTTTAAGAATACTTAAAAGCCAGTTGTGCCGAAAAAGGGCATTTTAAAGAATGATTTTTAAGTGAGGCTACAGGTTGAGTTATGACCTAAGAAAATTCACAGATTTTCTCTAGAATATGAGGAATTTTATGATATTTTTGGATGAATTTTTGGAGCTCTGGATTTAATAAAATGCTCCAGTCAAATATTAAATAATTTTGTCCCCTAAATAGGAGACAAAACCAAAGAAAATATCTAAGAGCCATCATGACGATGCTGAGTCAGCGTGCTGAGTCACCAAACGTAATCATGACACCTACGAGTCATCATGCTGAGTCACCAGAAGATATTTATGGACAGCATAAAAATCAGAACACAGTATGGGAATATTTTAGACAGTCTTTTGTCTACCCGTTATAGTGAAATCTCTACTGCATGACTCAGTAAGGTTAAGTAACCCGTCAGTAGAGCTAATTATTTTTCCCCTCTACTCCTCTAAGGTGGCACCATATATGTACTTAATTAAGATGAGAAAATAGTGTCAGAACATGTCCTGGTGGTACAGGGTAAGTCAGGACCCGAAAAGTATCCGATACGGTGCAAGATTGGCTTGATAGGTGGAGAAATAATTAAGAAAAGGACATGAAAGTGACAAGTGTACGGTTAGATGAGAAAAAGAAAATATTACGTGTACGGCTAGATGGAAGACACGTGTACGGTCGGATGCAAGACACATGTGCGGTTGGATTAAAGACATGTGGCTTGATGATGTAAGCATGATGTCATCATGGTGAGGTAAGCATGATGTCATAGGACACTTGTCTCCGTAACATCAAAAGAGAAAATAGACGGTCCAGATCGAGCCACGTATTTTTAAGATCAACGGTCCAGATTCAGTCTCTTTTTCTATAAATACCCCCTCCCCTCCCTACCATTTCGTCCAAGCATAAGGAATCCATGGGGAAGCTCTTGAAAAATGGTTTCTAGAGAGAGAAAGAAGAGGGAGAAAGAAAGGCCAAGTGGTTCCAAGCCAGATCAAACTCTAAAACAAGGTATGTGATGGTTATAGCACCTGATTTTATGCCTATTTCGGATTAGTTACTGTGTGTATCTGATTCTGAAATTTTGCATGCTTAAAGTACACTCTGTGAGCTTTAAATCCATAGGTAGAACACTTCATTTGGATATGTGTACGATTTATGGTGATTTTTCAAAGTTAGGGTTTGAAATCTTGAAACAGTGTTGAACTTTTGAAAGAGTTTCGCGTTCCGTACAGTTTCGGTACTGTTTAGCGTAGAATTGGTTCTTGAAACTATTTTTCCCTTAAATTTAACTTAAGGAGCTTTCAGTGAGACTTGGAACCATTCAATTTGGATTTTTCTAGAATTAATTATGAATTTCCAAAGTTGAGTAAAAATTCTGGAAATTCTGCGTGAACAGTACCAGCTCCAGATTTGGTATTCTTGAATCTAAAGCCATCTAAAGTAGTCCTAATTGATAAGAAATGGATCTTAAGGATGGGAAATGATAAGATTTATGTTAGAAAAGTTAGAAAGAAAACCCTAAGACTAAGAGAAAGGGTTGAAGTTCAAGAAAGCTAGTCTTGAACTTTATGTCATCTAATGGTCCTAATGGATTGTGTGATCATTATGGTTATGTTTAGGACCTTTGGAACATCTAAGAGGATGTTTGGTGATGTTGAACAAATGCCCACATGGTTGGAAAGTCAAGGGAGTTAAAGGAAAAGTGAGAGGAAAGCTTGAGATGCAAGGTAGTGAACTTACCTATACTGTGTGCTTGATATGTATGCTTGCATGATGTGATTGTGTTGCCATGATGTGACTAAGCTATGATGAAATGTTTGAAAAGTTGTGTTTGCAAGTTTATGTTATGTTTTGCCTTGGCAATATGTTATGGAAGCATGAAATGCTTTAGCTTACTTTCCATGGCATTCATGTGTTAATGTTATAACACGTCATGCATGTGCATTATGTCTTGCATGCTTATGGGTAGTGTTTGCTACTGAGATTCCCCCGAATCTCACCCCTCCCTAACCAACCATTTAGGTCAATCAATGATGGGCAATAATGGCATGAGAAGCAAGGAGAAGTAAGCGGAGAATTATTCTTGTTAATGGATGAGACTGTTGATAAATGTATAATTCTACTATTTTGTGAACTATGTTATGGATGCCAATGATGCCATATATTTAATTATAATATTTATGGCATGAATAAAAGTGTATGAGTATGAACAAGAAATATTAAGGCCATGTTATGTATGCCAAAGCAATAAAAAGAATTAAAGAGATGTTAAGGGATAAAACGTAAGTCCTGGAGCAGTGAGTTTGTAGCTCCAGTTTGACCTATCAAACGAGTGAGTTAGGTCATAAGATTTGGCAAGCAATAAGATCTGATGTTTCTATTTAAAATGAGGGGTAGTTTGCCCGATTCCGATAACCGACCAGAAAGTTCCGAATATGACCAAATGAACAGTAACTCTTTTAAAGGAAATTGAGCTCGAATTTCAAGGCAATCAGTTCAGAAACTATTTTTCCTCAAAATTTTATCCAAAGAGCTTTCTGTAGAACTTGGAATCACTCAATTTTGATTTTTCTACAATTAGTTATGAATTTTTGAAGTTTGTCACATTTTAAGGTGACAATGAATAGTAACCCGTAAATGAAAATTTTCAAACTTGATTTTTCATCAATTGTAGCCTTCAAAAGTGATTCCAAATGCTTCCGCAAGGAAAGTTAATTGATTTAAACATGAGGCGTTACACCTGATGTTATTGAGTATCAAAAAGTTTGTGTTAATGAAGATTTTATTAGTATTCAAGTTTTGATCATGACAAATAAGGTTTTTGATTCAAGATTTAAAATTTGTTCTTTTTTATCAATAAAGTTATTGATAATTTTATTTATTGATAAGCTTTTCGATAATTTTAAAAGAAATAGAGACATTTATCAATAAACTTAGGAAAAATTTCAAAAAAATGACTGTTGAATTTTAAAATTTCAAATCAGTATTGGTTATTACACTTGTAAAGAAAATGACTATGCTCAAAAAACAAATAACAACACATTTTTGTAGTAATTCCTGATTTGTCATTTTGAAATTCAACAGTTATTTTTTTGGGATTTTCCCATAAACTTATTGATAACGTGGTTTATCGATAAAGACTTTAATAAATGCTCTCAAATTTCTAAAAATGTTTGATTTGAACGTTTGAAATATAAAATTCTTAATTTATTGAT